CTGCCCGAACCAGGGATTGAAACTTTTAATCGCTACTGTCAACTATGCCATTGCTCTAGTGACATTGAAGATATAAACCTAACCTGCCTGATTATTAAGATGTTGAAAAAGATATGTAGCCATGTTGCGAATCTCGAAACTCAAATAATTTTATGAAGAAGATATTAATAAATTGACGGCTTGCGACGATTATGCTATCGACTATTATTATATTGATTGATTATTTTAATTAAGTAATGAAATACAAAGTCAATCATTAGTCTAAAATAAAATGCTACGGGATGTATTTTTCAACTTAATATATTGATTTACAGATCGAGATTATTAGAAAAATCAGGAACACACACACAGACAACTCCCATTTATAATATAGATATGTACTGGTCTATATTCTAGGCTTAAGTTAAGCAGAGTCGAGCGTGGTCAGTAACTAGATGGGTGACCGCTTAGGAAGATAAAAATGCTTTAAGCTGGAATGTGCTGATGGTATAATTTATAATGGCGCGGACAGTTATAAAAGCAGCAATTCTTTTCCTCCCAGCTATGGGTTAATTATTAAACTTGTATCACTAAACCATTATTATCCTCTCACACCAAGAATTCTGAGCGTAAAAAAAATATTTACTAGTTTTAAATAACCTGCAAAGGGTTGATAAGCAGTAGAAGACGAGTCAATAAACAATGATTCATGTTCGGCCATAAATTTTGAAGTTGATAGTTTTTAAATATTATATTAAGGATAATAAAATGATAAACCTCTTATTATGACATATATAAGATAATAAGTGAAAACAACACTAATCTAAGAGACAAAGTTTTTGCGCAGTAAGATTTTATTATTTTATTTTTGTTCTCTAAAAATGAGAAAAATCCATCATTTAAACATTTATATAAATTACTAGTTGCATGTCCATTTTTGTTAAATGTCGATATTTCAATTTAAAAAAAAATCCTTTTTTTCCAAAAAGTAGTTAATAAATTATCCGGTAATACATGATTTTCCATTTAATTTTAAATACCATTTTTGCCAAAAAAATAAAATAAAATTTCACTATGACAAAATTACATTAACTTAGAGTATTGTCTGCTAAATGAAATATGCCATCACATATTCATTGCAGTAAATTGAACAGTAAAGAAAAGCATGTACATAATTTATTAATTACATAAAAGTATTGAAATGAATTATTTGAAGGATTTTTAAATTGTTATGGTTTAGTTTTTAGACGTTTATATAAATGAGTTTCTATATAAATGCATAAACTAAGAAGCTACGATTTAAAAAGAAGTGTGGATGGTGATACAGCTATAGGCAGGGCGAGTTCAGATTCCGTACGAGGCTGTTCCGTTCATTTAGCTTCAAAGTATTAAGCAAAGATCTGAATCTATTTAATATCCCTCTATCTATCAGTCAGTTATGTATCATACGTGATACACGCTTAGACGATCACGTATATTTCGATACATGACTGACGAGGCAGATTTTTTCACGCAGTTGGTTGCCATTTCTTTCTGCGGTAGACCAATCACCATCCAAGGCTATAGAATCCCGTCTGTCCTGCTACTTACCCATAGCTGGGTGAGGGGGAAGAGGATTCATACCTTTCCCGTAGATAAGTAATAAGGACTTTCATCGATTTTCTTCAACTTTTCTATACTTTTGAATTTATTCATATATATATATATATATATATATATATATATATATATATATATATATATATATATATATATACATACACTATATATATATATATATATATATATATATGTGTGTGTGTGTGTGTGTGTATATATATACATGTGTATATGTATATATATATATATTACAATATACTAAAAATATTTTAAATTACTACACAAAAGCTTACATGTTTCAATACTATGATTGTATCTCATCAGGCGATGGTTGGTAACTGGTGTAACTATTTTTATTTTGATTTACTATTATAAAAAATATTATAATAATTTTTACTCCATTGGTTCCTTCTCTTATTTGGATACATACATACATATATATATACATACATACATACTTCCCTAACGATCCGCTTAGGTGAAACCTTGGTAGGTTTGTTTGGCTCTCTAGGTTTAACTATATATATATATATATATATATATATATATATATATATATATATAAATATAGGCCGCAATTGTCAGGCCGCCTGATGATTGCGTCTAGCATGAAACAGCCTGTCGCCTCTGAGTGTTGACTTCAATGTTCACTTTAATATTTACATACGCTCTACTCTGATATTGAGCACTTTATCCCATAAATATACCACACTTTAAAACTGTATTCCTTCATATATATATGTATATATAGTTGCTGTCGTCTCTCTAAGCAACTATGATCACCACTGACACGTTCAGCCCTTCAGGTAAACTCCCCGCAACAAAATTGCATTCATTGGTTGTGCGAACGACAGTGGCTCATAAAGCCAGCCATCGATATGCATTACTTGTCCCATATTTGGCATATCAAATAATCTCCTTGTGGTGGAAGGCGACTTTGATTACCATCCCTTTCACTGTGCACTTGCATATGCTTTGTCAGACCGGACATGAACTTGCACATCCTAGTGCAGGTCGAGCATTCAAAGCATGCAGTAATAAAATCCTCATTTACAATAGACTGTTTGTATTGGTGTGACCGCTGGTGACTGAGCACACCCCGGACATACCTATCAGATTGCATTGGACACATGGCCAGGTTAGCACGTGAAGCCAATTCAGGGATCCCCTCTCTTCAGTTCTGCATATTTTGATCTTGATGCCATCAGCAATACCAGCTCTCCAAGAAACTTAGTCTTCAGCTAGAATCTCCCAGTTATCCAGACCAATATTGCACTTGAATAGTGACTCTTTAAGGCAATCTTTGTAACAAAGTTTTGGCTTGTGCTCCGGTTTTCTTCCCATTTTCATTTCTCTAGATATTATTTGTTTTGGAATTCTTTCATCCGCCATACGAACAAGATGGTCCGTCCATCGCACTCTGTGCTTGTGTAAAACTGCTTTCACAGAGAGTGAATTGGCTACATATATAACAACAGTATCAGGGGTGTGAGATATTGGATTTCAAACACAGACTGAAGCCAGCGTTGATGAAAATGTTCCAGTATCTTCAGATGTCTGTGATAAACTAACCATGTCTCACAAGAATAGAGCAGAGATGACATAACGCAGGCATTTTATATTTTGATTTATGCCTGCTTTTTATGCTCTCATGACTCTAGAAACAGACCTTGAGTACTGCAAATTCATAGGAGGCCTTCTTAATCCGTAAAGCTGTCTCATCATCAATAGAGCAGTGGCGGTTGAGGGTGCTTCTAAAGTATACAGATATGTCTACTACCTCAATCCGACTACCATCAACATAAATTGGTGGCTCTATATACTGAAGTCCCCAGGCAGGATATATATATATATATATATATATATATATATATATATATATATGCAGAATTAGAGTCTTAAGGTGTGCTATATTTATGGGACATGGCATGATCATTGCGTCTAGCATGAAACAGACTTTCGCCTCTAAGTGTTGACTTCATTGTCCACACACACACACACACACACACACACACACACACATATATATATATATATATATATATGGATATATAATAGATCTGTTGGTATATAATCCAGGTTGATCCTAGTAATATCAAATATTAAAACTGATCCACAGAGAGAGCTCAATGAATTTATTATAACAGGGCATATATATTATGCAGCAAAAATCCAAAATTACCTTATGTGAGTATAGACTATTTTAAAACGGCACAAGCTTCTTCAGCTCTTGACTGGCTGTCTCGGAATCAGGGATTCTGAATTTAATTTAGAGAGCAGTCGGGAAGAATGTATGTATATGACGCCACGTTGATGGCAGACCTAGAAGCAATACTATAGGACCTCCTAGGCAAAGCAATAAAGGAAAGCGAGAAGAAAGGACTAACCATCAATTTGTATGAAGCCAGAATATATGTCAAATGAAAAACCCCAAAATGCTAACTACGAATTTGAGATGTTAGATCCAAACAAATACAGAAGTTCAAATATCTGAGAAGTGTTTTAAAAGATGGGTGAATATGCGATACTGAAAAGCGAATATGCATTTAAACAACTAATGATGCCTTTTAAAAGCAAAGTAAAGTATAAAGAAACAGGAAAATTTCATTCGAAACAAAGAAAAGATTGCTGAACAGCTATGTAATATCAATTCTCTCATGGAGCAGTGAAGCTGGCCAATTTCCTCACAGATGAAGATAGAACAGAAATGAGAGACTACAGAAGGATGCTGAGAATACCATGAACGGCGCGGGTAAGCAACGACGAAGTTTTAGGGAAAACGGTTACAAAAGATTGCTTATACTTAAAATCAGAAAGAGACAGTTGAAATTTCTAGGGCACGTAATAGGAAAAGAAGGCTTGAAGAATTGAACATCCACATGACATAGTGAAGTCAAAAGCGACATCGGCAAACAATGAGTAACTTACCTGAAGAGCTTGTGTAAATGGACTGCAGTACAGGGAATGGGGGGGTAATAAAAAGACAAACCTGGCCAAGAACTACAAAGAGCATGAAGAAAGGTAAACGACATCTACAAGAATAAGAAAGAACCCGAGAAGAGCCAGAAATTGATGGAAGATTAAATACAGGGAGGCAATAAGCAAAGACGAGAAGAAAAGGCAATAAGCAAAGCCGAGAAGAAAAGGCAATCACACGAATCAGGAAAGGAACAAATGGGAAATGTTTTTAATTGGGTGGCATTTTTATTTCATATTTCGATTGTACATTTATCGCTATGATCCAGAACAATTAACTGCTCGGTAGAAAGAGACATACAGACAGGCATAAATAGATAGAAATATAGTCAGGCAGAAAGGCAAAGAATGCGATATAGTGAAATACAGAATTTATTTTCTTTAACACGTATATGCTTTCCCTTGTGTAGAAGAAGAGAAAGAAAGAGAAAGAGGAATTAAAAAAAATGGATGTGAAAGAAAAGGTAAGACGGAAAAAAGGAGAAAGTGAAAAAGGGAATAGGTAGATAGATATCGATAAAAAAGTGTGTAGTAAATAAAGTCTTATTTACAAGTTCATATCTATCTGTGTTTATTTTGTGTTTTTTCTTCCTTTCTATCTATGTGTATTTCTTTCTTTATATGTATATTTTTCTTTCTTTCTTTCTTTCTTTCTTTCTTTCTATGTGTTTTTCTTTCTTTATAGCTGTTTTTTCTTTTTATGTGTTTTTCTTTTTTTTCTGTTTTTCTATCTCGTTATCTATCTCTATATCTTTGTTCTTTCTATGTTTTTTTCTATCTATCTATCTATCTATCTATCTATCTATCTATCTATCTATCTATCTATCTATCTATCTATCCTTATATCTATGTTATTCTTTCTTTCTTTCCCTGTGTTTTTTCTTTATATCTGTTCTTTCTATCTATCAATGTATGTATTTTTCTTTCTTTTGTCTGTTTTGTCTTTCTATCTATCTATCTATCTATCTATCTATCTATCTATCTATCTATCTATCTATGTGTTTTTCTTTCTTTGCATCTGTTTTTCTTTATTTTTCTTTTCTTTCTTTTTTCCGATCTATCTATGCATGTGTTTTTCTTTCTGTCCGTTTTCTTTCTATCTATCTATCTATCTATCTATCTATCTATCTATCTATCTATCTATCTATGTGTTTTTCTTTCATTGTATCTGCTTTTCTTTCTTTTTCCTTTTCTTTCTTTCTTTCTTTCTTTCTTTCTTTCTATATGTGTTTTTCTTTCTGCCCGTTTTCTATCTATCTATCTATCTATCTATCTATCTATCTATCTATCTATCTATCTATCTAAGTAAATAGATACATTTATGTTTATTCGTTTGTTCATTATTTTCTCTCATATAAATTGACATGAAATTACCTATACACATTTGTTGTGCCAGAGAAAGAGAGAAGGTATTTGTGTGCGACTGTATGTGTGCCGTCTTCTTTCTTTCTTTTTAAGATTTTATAAATTTATATTCATACATCAGAATGAAGGAATGGAGAATGGAAGTCTGGAAGAAATCACGAAGTAAAGAATGAAATAACAGAGGATGGAGAATTGTTGTTTATATTTCGCAAATATTGATCCTTTTCACGAACAGATCGATACAATAGATGCATATTCTGTGGTATTCGACGCTTACCTCCCTTGAAAGTTTGTGGTAATTACCCGGATCAACTGTGTTTAGCCAGAGTTATTGAACCGGTAGCTCACTCGATCAACACAAGAACTATTTTGCTTTCAACTAACTTCCCCTCTCCATTTTGTGATCGCTCCCTTCACAACTACTTGTTACCCGATATGCAGGGAAAATATCCAATTTATCTGCGTTAACAAAACGTATGCGGCATATTTTCAGACAGTTCAGCAGTGGAAGATGTTACTGAAAGTGTTCAGTTTAACCAAACACATAACGAGAGCCACTCAAGGTAGAGGGATAATGGTTAAGATTGTTGTAAGGACGTTAGAAGAGGAAGTAAATGCTATTGATGAAGATATATATTTCGTCCATTCTTTTGTGGGACCGCATTTCTATTAAATACAGTCTCCTCTTTTATATGTAACACATATCACATGTCTCGGAATCGGGGGTTTTGAATTTAATTTAGAAAGCAGTCGGGGAGAAGGTACGAGTCTATTGAAAGAGACGCCTAGTTTAGATAAGGAACCTGGGTTGGTGACAAGGGGAGGGCGTGAGGTATCTCTCTGAGGGGAGATGGGTCGGAATGGGAGTTTATTTATGACCAAAGCCTTTAGTGGCATGTAAATGAATTTAAGTTCCTGCTAGGTGATACCAAACTATACCAATAACATATATGTTTTAATAGGATTGAAAATAAATTCTATTCCGAGAATAAGGGTTTTATATTATTAAGTGATGGGAGATTTAATGACGAAACAATTTAAAGTTAGAATAAATTATCTAAATATTAGATTCCCAAAATCTGTAAGTAATACCGAAACACCGACTGGAATTAGTCATGCTGTAAAACACAAAAAAAAACAAACCCAAAACAATCAAAAACACCCCCCCCCCCACAAAAAAAAACGGAAATAGTAAATAATAACGAAATTATTCGTTTTGTTTCAATTCATTTGCTCAAGGCTGTATAGCTATTATTACCTTATTTCATTTTTATTTTCCTTAAGTTTGTATAGTTATTCTAATGTTTCGTCCATGTTGTTCTCAATATTCTTTGTGTGACCGCAATTTCGACTACAGTCCCTTCTTTAATCCTTCAGAATTAACCTTATAGAAGGACTAATATTAAATAGCATTTCAGATCAATTTCAATGAAATCGTCCTGTTTTCTAAACATTTTTCTTATTGTTATGTCGTCTGCTTTTTATGTAGCGGTTATGTATTCTATGGATGAGAAGTTATAAGCTTTTTGGTGAACTCATATAAATCCAATATTGTAAGGACGTTTTACAAAATAAAAGAAATAAAAAGTGAAAAGTTCAAAGCAACTTTAAGTGTCACTGATAGATAGCGGCTCGGATTGAAGAATCGAAGAGCCGAGTTCGAATTCCAGTCGAATCCATTGCATTCACTGGCGTGTTAATAACCTTGGGAAACGTATGAATCCTGTTCTTTCCGCCCAGCTATGTGTAAATAGCAGGATAGACCATGTTCTCTAGCCTTGTACGGCAACTGGTCTACTGCAAAAAGAAATGGCAACCTATTGCGAGAAAAAATCTGCCTTGTCAGTCATGTATCGAAAGATACCTGATTGCCTAAGCATGTATCACGCATGGCACGTAACTGACTGAGCGAAAAGAATACGGCTGTTCGCTATGAAAATCACCGAGAAAAGATTGCGTCTTTCAAATCTCGTGACGCCTGTAAATCGACAGTGGATGATAATTCCAAAATCTCGCCGTAGTGAGAATTTATTAATCAGGGGGAGGTAATCCAACAGTAATAACAGTTCCCAAATAATTAAATTTCTATATTTTCTTGATGGTGACGTCTCCAATTCGTACCTCGCATTTTGGAGTGTCCTTTTGTCTGGGACAGCAGACTTGAAGAGGTAAGAATATTCATTAAGCATTTCACATAAATCAAGGCAATAAAACCGCTAAGACGTAAGGCAGTTACTGTGTGTGAGAATATATGAGAAAAATATTATTAATGAGAGACAACAATAAAAGACACATGTATTAAAAAAACAGCAAATAACGACGAAAATCTTTGAAGATTACTTTGACTGGAAAGCGAGAGGCTGAAAAAAATCAATAAGCGAGAAGTGCGAAAGAAGAAATTGTTAGCATAGAACTTGCGGTTACATCTAGAAATTTCAACTATAAAATGATGAGATCTTCTGCTAGTCTAAATCTAGTATTACGCTGAAAATCATAAAGGCGAAGCACCAAGCAGGAGAACGCATCAGAATAGTTACCGTGAAAATATTTATAGAAAAGCTACGTTACGGCGGTGAGAAAATGATTGAAGCCGAGATGCCAGGTCATAACCAGTAACATCTCAAATTCTTCTTTGGATTTTATTAAGGATGTCTAAATAATTAGCCGAAGCATCATACAAGATGTGACAGCAATATTCAATACATGGGTGAATGGTCGACTTATAAAGGTGTAAGATAGTTTCTGCCGAGAAAAAATGTCGAATGATGCAGTGAACCAACTTTCCTATCAAAGGATATAGCAAGTGATTCAATAAAATATTTCAAATCATGTTAATGAAAAACCTTTTCCCAAGGAGACGCAGAGGTTTTAGTGATCGATGAAGCATACTCTGAGGAGTCTATTCCACAAAGTAATGGGGATGATTTGACCACGTGTGGGTAGAATGGCCTGTACTAACTGTAAAAGACTGAACTGGTGGAACTAATGAATGGAACTCGTGTAAACTTATAGCATCCAAGAAGCGATAAACTTGCTACGATTCATGCCTTTCCCAAGAGTATTTGCGTATATGTGGACTGAAGAACCCTTAAAATAGCTCTTTAAATACGATTTTTTTCACTGTTGTAGATTCAAATAAATGCAATATATTTCAGCACCTGGTATTCCCAAGTGGTCACCCATATAAGTAGTAACCAGGTTCAACGCTGCTTAACTTAATTAATCGCACGAGCACCGCTGCGTACAATAACATCAACTTATGCGACAGATAACATTTACATGCCTTTACAGTTTAATTTTATTTTCTTGGAAGATGGGTGAATAAAATATAAATAAAGCAAAATCATAAAAATAAAAATAATGTAGCGTAGTAAGTTTACTTATTGGAATCTTTTAGAGATTACGGTCGTATCACGTTGTAACATCAGTTCTCGTACAGTTAAGCAACATTCTTGTTTCCTTCAGAGGAACCTGCAACACTGAACCTTTTCTTTAGGTAGCAAGCCCCCATTCATCCAGCTTTTTCGGCTGATCACTGAACTGCCTGCATATATTTCCGAGGTTGGATCAAAAAGTATTGTTGGAAAGAACTTGTAGGGTGGAAAATAATTCGTCACTTACAAGGCCCGATACGTGATTCTGAACTTTGCCGAAGCTGGAAAGTGAGGATTGTACAGCTTTAGCTAAGAGCAATGCTTTATATTTGGCTTCATCTGATTCTTGACCATTCCTGGACGTTTGAAAATTTTTGTAACCCAGGGAAGATTTCTGAATAGAATAATCAAAAGAAGGTTGTTAATGAACGATAATACTTAGGACAAGATCAACACGTATAAGATTCGCCAGCGGCGCGTAGAAGTAGTAGTCAACTGCTAGAAATGATTCAAGTGAATTCCACAATGAATCTCCAACTGCAGGATATCTACCAACCGACCGATGCGGTCAGATGTGGCACAAAGCTGAATTTAATGTAGGGTATCCGAGCCCGTAGTCTCGTCCAAAAACTCCCCGTAGACCTCGTATAAAATGGTGTCGGGTAGCTGTTTCCTGAGACGAAACTCTGCCCTTCGACATAGCTTCGTCTGGGAATCCTCTCTGTCCGGAGGCAGAGAGTTTGACCAGCACAGTTGGAAACGAATCTCTAACTGCAGGATATTTACCAATCGCCCCAAGCGGTCAGATGTGACACAAGGCCGAATTTAATGTAGGGTATCCGAGCCCGTAGGCTCGGCCAAAAATTCCTCTTAGACTCCGTATAAAACGTGGTAGCTGTTTCCCGAGACGAGACGAGACTCTGCCCATCGACATAGCCCCGTTTGGGGATCGTCTCTGCTGAAGACGAATCTCCGACTGCAGGTCGACATACAGTAATTACTACTATATTTATGTGAATGAGGACATAACCATTTTCATCCTACAACAAAAAGGGACCAACATTTACCAATCGTTGTTCCTGGCTTAATTATTAATTAATCTACCTAAAAAATCTTGTTCAAATGAATGGCAGGTCAGGTTGTAGAAAAGATTGATAAAAAGTATTTAAGTGTTACAAATGATAGGAACTTGTAAAGAACGAAGATAATCAACATCTTGAAAAGAAACGGCACATAAACGAAGTATTATCATTTAATTTATACATACACGATTCGATGGGGAAATTGTAGCAATTTTATATTTTTAATTTCGCGCATGCGCGTTATTTGTTTTTTTTTTTTTTCATTTTGCCGACTGGGTCAAGAGGATGACTGCTAGAACATACAAGCAGGGGAACTCAGCCAGGGCTCAGCTGAACGAGATAAAGACAAAGCTCCTTGTAAGACCAAAGATGAACTGAAGGTAAGGATTATAGAAGCATTCACCAAATTAAACTAGGAGACCGACTAGAAGAGTTACAGAAGATTTCGAAATCGTCTGAAGGGCGTATTTGAAGCCAATGGCGGTTTTATTTAAGAGATTAACTCTTTAGTATTTCGAGATATTTTTGCCTACGTTTTGTAAATATTTTTGTTAAAATGAAATGTTAGTGTTATTTTCATTTTTGAATAATTCAGAGAACAATTTTATCCATCGCACCATTTTATTTTATATATACAACAGACGACTCAGTATCTATCTATCTATCTATCTATCTATCTATCTATCTATCTATCTATCTATCTATCTATCTATCTGTATCTCTCTATATTTCTGAGATGAGTTATTATATACACTATTTACATTATTCGGACTATTGTCCTCATCTTTGTTGCCATATTTATCACAGCATTTCGGCTGTTGTACGTTCCGGCTTTCATCAGTTGGTTGGAATGTCGAACTGAACCCTTTATTTCGCTCGCTGGGGTAGACTCTTCTAGTTCCACTGTGCCATGTTTATTCAAGGACACGTGCCACAGTGGATAAAGGCGTTAGTTAGATTCAGTGACACGAACCAAAGTATGTGATTTCATTACGTGGTTAAGGCAGTGGAGAACTTTGAGAGGGGAATTAATAGGAGGTAACTGATAACTGACATCCATTAGACAGATAAGGACAATAGTCCGAATAATGTAAATCATCTATCTATCTATCTATCTATCTATCTATCTATCTATCTATCTATCTATCTATCTATCTATCTATGTCTATTCAGTATCTATCTATCTATCTATCTATCTATCTATCTATCTATCTATCTATCTATCTATCTATCTATGTCTATTCAGTATCTATCTATCTATCTATCTATCTATCTATCTATCTATCTCAGTCTATTCAGTATCTATCTATCTATCTATCTATCTATCTATCTATCTATCTATCTATCTATGTCAGTCTATTCAGTATCTATCTATCTATCTATCTATCTATCTATCTATCTATCTATCTATTCATAAAAGGAGATAAAAGACACAAAAGAATAAAATGCAGAAATCGAATGTTTCTGAAGGTTGAGAAATCAATTCTTTTTTCCCATTTGGTTCACTTCAATTCTTTACCATCATTTAAAAGTTTATGTTCTTTTTTTTATAATATGTTTACTTTGCAGGTTATTTCAAATCAGTGTTTTCCTTTTTAGATTTTAAAAAATCATTTCTCTTAAAAATTTATGCGATCATGGCTCTACACAGATTCCTTTTCCATATTATCTGTGAATTACCATGCTTTATTTGGAAGGCATTTGTTTTTTTCGATAAAGGTCACCCTGTCCAATTCTCAAGAACCACTCGACGTCCAGCTGAAGAGGAAATAGTTAATAATTCAAATTTTAAAATAACTGAAAAATAATGATTTTAAAAGTTTTTAATGTGTATTGAGTTTAAAGTAACCGCACAACTTTGTGAATTTGAAAATATTTGTTTTAAATTCAGTTTAAATTCTCTTATTGTGAATTAGAGAAGTTAATTTTATTTCTTTAAAATGTCAAATAATCAAAGCTAAGTTAAGAAGTTTCGTGGAATGAGGTTTTGAAGTTCTGCAGAGTTTGGGATTTGAAGAACGCAACTAAATTGAAGTTCCACGGTGGTGTCATTTGAAGAACTCTACTCAGTTAAAGTTCCGCAGAGTGTGTGATTTGAAGGAATCTACTCAATTGAAGTTCCACGGTGTTTGTGATTTGAAGAAATCTACTCAACTGAAGTTCCACGGTGTTTATGATTTGAAGAAATCCGCTCAGTTGAAGTTCCAAGGTGTTTGTGATTTGAAGGAATCTACTCAATTGAAGTTCTACGGTGTTTGTGATTTTAAGAACTGAATTTTCGGTCTGAATTGTATTTTCAGTCCAAATCGGATTTTCGACTCAAATCGGTCTTTTGGACGGAATTGCCCTTATAGCTTGAATCAGAGTTCAAGTGAAGATTTTACGTTTCATGTAGGGAGTTGAGGGACTCAAAGTTATTTTTTCAAAATTATCATTGCTGTTTTCTAAGCTGGACCAGAGGTATCATTAGTTTTGGACCAGAGATCCAATTAGCTCTTCGCAGGACGTAGCTTAAAAGTCCGCAGGGATTCCAGATTTTAAGCTAGTATTAAAATAAAGGTCCATACTAAAATATGCCTTATTTATAATAAAAAAAGTCTGCTTGGGATTTTCATAGGTAAAAATTTCTGTTAGCGATGACTCCTGGGTGGATTTTTTAAGGTTGATATTAGCTTGGGTAGAATTTCTATGGAACCGCTAAATTATGTTTTGCTTTAAAAATAATAAAATATCTTTTCAGAATTCGTAACACTCTTTTTCTCCTTATCGCGTTGCTAAACCACAACCATCCAGTATTATACACAGAGCATTCCCTGGAGTGTTAAGTTTACAAGATCGTTAAGTGTACATGGATCTTCAAGACTGGGGCAAACTAGAAGATGATCCATATTTTTGAGATTGCCTGTATTGGCGGTTGGGTTCAAAATTAGTGGCATATCCCCATTTCTGTTTGGCTCTTCAGCGACAAACAGCTGTTCGGAGGCGATTTAGGCAGGATCAGAAGGGCCAGGCATTACTGGACCCAGGTTGGAGGGGAGAGAGAGAGAGAGAGAGAGAGAGAGACTGAGACTGTTTCACGTTGTTAAGATGGCTGCATCACAGTGACAGAGCTCTGTTGTTCTTGAAGTGAACCTCCTTGTCATTGTTTCACACCCGTGGAGTTGATGACAAAGGTCAATTTCCTGCTTCAAATTATTGAGTTGGGAGTGGACTGTCGTTCTCATGTAAGGGGGAGCAATACCACTAATCAAGTAGAGGCCATCTACGTTGGTTGGATTTAGACACCCAGTATTCGATCTGTGTTTGACAGGATCGATTTTCTTTGAATAATTCTCAAAATAGCACAAAGATAATAACGCTGTTAAAAATAATTAAATATGTTAGAATTACTAGCATTAGCAGATAAATAAAAATAGTCAATTTCAATTTAACATTGTTTGAAAGAAAACCAGAAAGTATGAAATATAAAACTGTACAAAAGTAAAGTATATATCAATATGAGTGAACTAAATACAAGGAATTTTTATCTTGAGTGATATATGTATTTATAAAGAAAATGAGGAACATGCTTTCTACATCATTATAGAAATTTAGGTGTTTATATTAACGCAGACAATTTTGATTAGTCTTCGCCAGGAAGAGATTTCAGAAGCGGAGAGTAGAGGGGGCCGTTAGAAAGAACCTGATTGAACAAAAAACAGTACATATGTATTTACAGCTTTAAAGTAGGTTAAAATAACAAGAGAGATTTTCGAGAAAGGTTAAATATTCCATGGCATCTCTATCAGGGCGATAGAAACATATTTTTAGGAAGTATTGAATGAGTGTGATATTTTTTAAGGTACGCAAAATGTATTTATGAGAATTAATAATGCAGTCAAAGCAAAATTTGAGTGTTCAAGAGCAAAGGTCACGACACTTTTGGGATGCAGAGGGTTATTTTGTTGGTTGACTTCCTTGAGGGCAAGAAAACAATTACATATGCTTATTATGTATGTGTTTTAGGAAAATCGCCCGAAAAAAAATCTCCGAAAAAGAAACTGGTAACGGGAAAGCCGCATCAACATGTCGTCTTCCTCCACGACAATGCATCCGCTCACGGCACTCGGTAGACAAGAGTTGTGCTACGTGAATTTGGATGGGATATCGCCTGACATCCAACTTACGGCCTCGATTTAGCCCCATCTTTGAAAGGTGACAGTTTTCCATCGGTTCATGATGCAAAAAGAGCATGCTTCAGAAGACATGACTCAGATTAACTTAACCCTAGAACACTAAGCATAGGTATATAGTACCCAGCGCAAATTTGATTACGGCAAGCGTTTCCTATTCTTATTTAAAAAGTGTTTTAAATACAGAATAATATTATTCTAATTTAGTTTTATGATAACTATTATTTTATTTTACCGCAATTTTTAAAAATTTTTTGTAGCTGTGCATAATACGCACACCTGATATTGCTTAATATTTTTTTTAGAAAAATGCGTATTATACTTGCGGAATTACGGTATACACACACACATAAACATATATATATATATATATATATATGTGTATATATATATATATATATGTGTATATATATATATATATATACAATCTTAAGTTTTCATTATGCGATGTGTACCTCGGAGGTTAATATAGACTTTTGAATCAAGAACATTGACAAAGAAAGATATTGTACTTCATAATAAATATTTACAGCACAAAATAAATGTTTTTCCTTAATTATATTGTGGACTTATTGATATATCTCTATATGTTTAACTCTTTACAGGATCCTGCATTATCTGACACGGAAAGCAAATCTTTTTCGCCTTCGTTGAATTCGATGATCATTGTTGCGTATTTGAAAATATCAGTGAAAAAGTTCCCGATCTAGTTGTAAATCTTTTAACGAACGCAAAGCTTTCCATTTGAAAATAAAACAAATTGTGTTATCGACTCGGAAAAAAACAAAAGACCGAGAAAAAGAAAGGAGAGAAGGAAATTACAAAGCGCAAATCGCGAAATTGTCGAAAGTTGGTTGCATTCATGTTTCATTAGACTCTAAAAGGCAGCCATATTTCAAGTATTAAAATACACTGGAGAATAGGATTTACTTTTGCAAAGTTTTGATAGATTTAATTCGTGTGAATTGTTGTAGCTGGTAAATTGGAGATATTTTGAGACGTTAAATCAGATCTATGCATGAACAAATATTAAAGTTCGCAATGAAATCTCGCATCTCTCTATATCTCTAAGATGAGATATTATGGTTACTTGCATTATTTACATTATTCGGACTGTTATCCTCATCTTTATTGCCATATTCACAACTTTTCGGCCTTTGTACGCTACGTTTTTTATGTCATATTTCTCTGTCTATATCTGTATCTATATCTCTGATATGAGATATTATGATTACTTGCATTATTTACATTATTCGGACTGTTATCCTCATCTTCATTTCCATATTCACAACGTGTCAACCTTCAATCCGACCTTCTACAGGTGATGGCACACTGGATAAAGTGGTTGATTATCCAGTGACTAGACCCAAAGATATGGATCAGATCATAGCAGTGGTGAACCAAAGCTTGGCAAGTTGAGTTAAATGGAAATAACTGAGGCATCCAGAAGAGGCGTGGCACGTGGAACTAGAACAATCTACTTCGGGGCACGGAATAAAGGGTTCGATTCGAAATTCCAATCAACTGAAGAAGTCCGGCGCGTAAACGTCTGAAACGTTTTGAATATGGAAATGAAGATGAGGATAACAGTTCGAATAAAATACATAATGCAAGTAAATCTCGCATTTCTTAATTTATCTTCTTATATGTATTTGTAGTATTTGTAGATTTTCACACCAGAAATATATTTTAGCTCCACCTAGAGATCAAAAGGCATCAAATTAACTCAATAGTCCAGCACTTGACACAGTATCATGTCGAACTAATGGTTATTGTAACGGTCATTTCGCGAGCGAGATTCACATATATTTTTTCGCATAAATTCCGATGAGAAAGTCACGAATCCATTATTATTCCTCCCATATCTGGGAGGAATAAAAATGGTAGGGTAGACTGAATAAAATAAGGTAGGCTGGTTATTTTTAGCTTTGATTAACAGCAAATCAAAGAGAATGAAATCTGAATTCAAAACTGGGACGGCAATGAGAAAGCAATCCATTGTTTTTTCCAAGAAGAGATATCAATTCAGAGATATTAAAGAAAAAATAGAAAACTGTTGGGTACCTTTATCCCCTAACTTCTGAAGGGCCAAGGTACCACAAAAAGTATCTGGTATATTTCACTGGCGATCAAAAGAGATCAAGTCTTTCCAGTACTCGACTGAGTATTATTATACATCCATAGAATCTGGAGGTTATCACTGAAGAGCAAGGAAAAGCAAATCGATTCAATATTCTGATTCAATATTAGGTACCGTATTTTCCGGCTTGGAAGACGTTGAGTCTTGGAAGACGCACCTTAATATCGGATAAAAATTTCTAATGTATCTGTCTAAATTTATGAGATATGTAAACTATTTACATTATTTGGACTATTGTCCTCATATTTGTTGCCATATTTATCACAACGTTTCGGCCGTTGTACGCTCCGTACAACGGAAAAAAATGCCATATGTCTTTAAGAATACGTAGCACAGTGGATAAAGGCTTTGGTTAAATCCAGTGACAGGACCCAAAGAGTTGTGAGTTCAATACCCGGTTAAGGCAGTGGAGAACTTGGAGAGGGGAATTAACAGGTGATAACTGATAACTGACATCCATTAGACATGGCACGTGGAACCAGAACAGTCTACCCCAGTGAGCGAAATAAAGGGTTCTGTTCGTCATTCTAACCACCTGAAGAAGGCTGGAGCGTACAACGGCCGAAACGTTGTGATAAATATAGCAAAAAGACGAGGACAATTGTCCAAATAATGTAAGTAGAGAAATTTTTAAGATAAAAAAAAAATTCTCATACAACATCACCTTCACCATACGTCTGTCACATACAGCCACCACCTAATGTTTACATTAATCAGTCGTCCGATTTTGCTTGTATAGCAATGACATACTAGTCTAGAGCAGAAAGTCTCCCGCCACTGCTAGTAAACAGAGTGTGTTTAAACTTGTGACTCGGCTCCAGGGAGGTTTATAGTCTTGGAAATACTTGTAAGTGAGGTTACATCAAATAAAAGGCTAATTTGAGATAGCTAACATTGTAGTGTAATGACTTAACATATAAATTCACGTCCCTATCTGTCAAGCCAATTAGGTGACCGTCTAATCTTAATCGACCCTTAAATTCGTTTTGATTGACGCACACATATTTTTCAGGGTATTTTTTTAGAAAAAAAAGTGATATTGTAACCCAGAAAAATACGGTATTCTTTCACAAGAAGAGTATTTGGTAACATTCTCTGGAGATCAAATAACTGCAAATTCTGATATATTGTCTTTAGGAATTTAAGCGCAGTGATATATTATAGGATATATAATATATAGGCAAATAGGTCGCATAATGTTAAAGAGGAAATTGCGAAGTATGTAAATGTGTTATATATTTGATGTAAAGAATATGCATACATCTGGTTTCCCCCTCACAGTAATATGATTGTCTGGTGTCAGCCATAAATACAGACTGATGTGGAGGTACAAGTGGACGCCTATGCCTATTGCCTACCATTACGACGAGGAATAGTCCATTAAGATTACCTGCTAGATTGTTCTACTCAGTTACAGTAGTCAACAACCCTTTGCTACTTCGAACAAATATATCCCTTTCCGGGACATATCATACTAATCATTTTTTCTGATTCCCTTTTCGCTTTTGAAACTGTCTCTCACTCTTTTGTTTTCGACTCAACTTTGGTCTTCAAAAATTTAAATGCAATCCCGATCGATATCTTCAGTCTTCTTAATACCTTCTTATTGTTCTCTCACGTTAATGTTTTACTTTTTCGCGCACAGTAAACACCTGCTGTCTTAGTGTTTTTATTACCTTGCCTAGTGGGGGGGGGGAATGATTAAAAAAAATGACATTTCTTCTTTTTACTAAAGTTAATTCCTTTCTTTATCAGACCTAAGACACCACATCAGGCAGAGTTTGCGTTCTTTTATTGCTTCATATATTCTATTTAGATTTCCAGAAATTTGTCTTTGTTTAGTGTTTCAAAAACCTTCTCGGAGATGTTTTTGGCACTTGGTACACTCATGTCAATCAGTAAGCAAATTTAATCTTTTTTTTTAGAATAATGTCTGGTAAATTTGCATCTATGTTCGATCTGTTTTGCTAGAAAATCCCAGAGGATGCTAACAACTGCTCCCTGACCCACAGAAACCAGTTTGCATTTGTTTTTATGCCATAGAGATGACAAAACTTACCTACCTTGACATGACGGCTTTTGTACTCATTTTTTTTGTGAATTTTAAGTATCCTGAGATAAGGTAATCAAGAGTTTCAGTGTGTTGGTTATGGAGCATACATTTTGTTTCCGTATTATTAAGCAAGATATCAGCTTGGTAGTTGCGTGCCAGTACAGAAGGTGAAATATTTGCTAAGTTCTTTAACAGAGAACAGAAAGTGTGACACTGAAATCCGAGCACGTATTGGACTAGCGAAAGAAGCATTCCAAAAGCTAAGTATTGCAAAAACCGAAAAAAAAAATCGATAGAAACAAAGAAAACGGTGGTTGATTACCACGCGATATCCATCCTCTTATATGGCGGAAAATATCTCCAAAGTGATGGTAAAATACTGAAATCAATAGAAATCTTGTTCTACAGAAGGATACTGAGATTTCCCTGGGTACAGTGAGAAAGCATCGAGGAAAGCATAAAAAATGGCTTCCTCGTTGTGAAGAAAATGGCCATAAAAGGAGTGCTTATATTCAGAATGAGGAAAGGACAAAAGAAATTCTTAGAGATTGGCAAACTTAAGCTTGACAGGGCAAGAAATTTAGAAGAAGGCAGCAAGCTTGTGGAAATGGATGTCGGAACCGGGGGGGAGGGTGAAGTCTTCGTAAAATTAGAAAAACTATTACGGGTCATAAGGGAAAGGAAATATTGAAAGACCGTGACTGGCCATGTCCCGAAGTGATGAGGGTTCATAAAAGACGAACATCTTGTTGCAAAGGACTTTGTCGTCATATCATCTGTTGTGTATGTCATCTTTTGAAGCGTTCTCCGTGAATATCTTCCTACTGTTAATGTCTACAGACTGAAATGAGAAATATGAACTAGCTTTGATGAGATTTGAACTCATCTCGTGTGAAGCAACTACATGAGTCTACTACATGAATCACCCTGTTGACGGTTATTCGACAAAAACAATAATTTTCAGAATGTTGGTGAAAGATAAAACAAAAAACAAAACAAAAGACGCGTTTTCTTTTATTCTTTGACTTTTTATTGTGTAGCGGATGCAATTCTTTAGAAATTTGTGTTAAAAGCTTTAGGTTTTTTTCTTGTTTTGTCAGTTTAACATTTCTTTTGTTGAGTTTATTCTCTACCATTACTTTATTTGATTTATCTATCTATCTATCTATCTATCTATCTATCTATCTATCTATATCTATCTATCAACCCCTTATATCCATCTATCTACCTAAACCATCTATCTATCTATCTAAACCACTT